TGATTTTTGATAGTGACGATTAACATGGGACCCACAGGCAATGCCTGAATGAGATTGCCATAACATCATCCTTCGGACGAGATCAACTCCATAGTATGGGTCCAACGATAAGGTACTACATCTGTACCACCCTTTTGAGCTAGCTTAATAAAAAGAACGTCTCCAAGCAAATTTGAGAGGTCCAAGACTCCAAGCCGACCGTCAGAAAAAATCTGGCCACTGGAGACAAAGCGGACAGACCCAGTCTAGACCCCGCGGGCCAATCACCCCCGGGTGGATGGTGACCATGAGAGAGCCGGCGATTCCGATAGTGGAGACGGAGTGGCCTTAAGTCATGACCACCTTCAAATCCCACTGCATTCTCTCTCCTGTCAAACAGGCGATCTCCCGCTCCTCAAACAGGCAGCAGTTTTCCACCCTAAGGGCCAGCTATCTTATCCTCCCCCGACTGAGAGTGCCATCACCACACCACAAGCTGTTCGGCACAATGCCTCGCTGGAATCGCAAAAAGAAATCTCAAGCGAAAGATGAGATACCGAACAGCACTAATCCCGCGGTGGTGCCGTCCGACAACTTGACGGCCGTCGGCTCCCTCCGCGCGGTGTCCAGCAATCCCTCCGATGCGATCAACTACGCTGAATTGGATCCCGCTGAGCTTCGAAAGCGAGCAAAGCAGCATGCCGAGTTCGGCCCGCTCGGGGATCCGTCGCATCTTTACAAAAGTGAGCATCCGGGCGGCGAGATACCGGACCCGGTGCTTGATGAACCTCCGTACTTTATTGCCTTGACGACGTATATCAGCTTCCTAGTTCTCATTTTCTTGGGTCACTTTCATGACTACTTTGCCAAGTGGTTCCTATCGCATACGTATCGTCACTTGAGGCCTCAGAATGGATACGCTTCGCTGTACAGTGATTTCGAGAGCTTCTACACGAGGCGCCTTAAACAGAGAATAAATGATTGCTTCGAACGGCCTACGACGGGTGTGCCCGGCAGGTATATCACCTTGCTTGATCAGACGTCAGAGGACAATCTCCATTTCCAGCTGACGGGAACGACGACCGATACCCTAAACTTGAGTTCGTACAACTATCTCGGGTTCGCTCAGTCCGAGGGGCCTTGTTCTGACTACGCGGAGGAGACTATTCGCCGGGATGGTATCAGTATGGCGGGATCTTGCAGCGAGGCGGGAACCTCCAAGCTTCATCTCGAGGTAGAAAATCAGATTGCTAGATTCGTCGGAAAGGAATCTGCGGTCGTCTACTCGATGGGCTTTGTCACCAACGCCACTATCTTCCCAGCTCTTGTCGGACGAGGTTGCCTGATCCTGTCAGATGAGCTCAATCATGCGTCTATTCGTTTTGGTGCCCGTCTCTCGGGTGCAGCTATTCAGGTCTTCGCACATAATAACATGGCTGATCTTGAGAAGCGCCTGAGAGAAGCAATTTCCCAAGGTCAGCCACGCACACACCGACCATGGAAGAAGATCCTTGTCACTGTCGAGGGTCTTTTCTCTATGGAAGGCACCATGTGCAACCTTCCTAGGATCCTCGAGCTCAAGAAGCGATACAAGTTCCATCTCTTTGTTGATGAGGCTCATTCGATCGGTGCCGTCGGACCCCATGGACGTGGTGTCTGTGACTACTTCAAGGTTGACCCTGCCGAGGTCGACATCCTCATGGGCACTTTCACTAAATCCTTTGGCGCCAATGGCGGCTACATTGCCGCTGATAAGGCGATCATCGACAAAGTGCGCGTTATAAACGCCGGTCAAGTTTTTGGCGAGGCACCGGCGCCTTCAGTTTTGGCACAGATCTATTCGTCCCTTCGCCTCATTGCCGATGAGGACCCCCTCCACCCAGGCCAGGGTATCGAACGAGTGCAGCGACTGGCCTTCAACTCCCGGTATCTGAGACTCGGACTCAAGAGACTTGGATTCATTGTGTACGGACACGACGACTCACCGATTGTTCCTCTCATGCTCTACAACCCTGCCAAGATGCCGGCCTTCTCTCATGAAATGTTACGGCGTAAGATCTCCGTCGTCGTCGTAACCTACCCGGCAACTCCGTTGGAACTCTCTCGCGCCCGATTCTGTGTGTCCGCTGCGCACACAAAGGACGACCTCGACCGCATCCTGCGAGTGTGCGATGAGATAGGAGATGCCCTGGAGCTGAAATACTCGACCGGTGTTGCGGGCGGTTTGAGGGACCCTCCCTCCGACGAAGACCTCAAGGGAGGCAGGAAGACAATTGAGCCTCCTCGCTGGAATATCGAAGAAGTCATCGAGAGAGGTACGCGAGACGCCAAATTGCCCCTGTACTGAATTGCATAAATGAGGGACACCTTTTTCTGCCTGTTCACATCTCACCTCAACGCTGTAACGAAAGCCGGTCATGTTTTCTTCTACTTTGGAATCTTTGTGGAGATATGTATAATACGCCGCGATGAACGAGACGTATAGTATAATAAGTAATAATAATAATAATAATCGACGTGATTCTAATGTCATTGATCTCAAGTTCTACTTAGTCAGCGGACCCAGTGATCTTCATTTCTGCACTGGAGTTTTAAATAAGGTCCCGGTAATTAGAAGCATGTCAATCTTCAAGCAAAATGTTGAAGGCGCTTGTCTATAGGTCCAACCAAGAGATCAACAACCGCCTATCATATTTATATTGTGCGACCCCGTACACCCCAGAGATTGCAAATGAGATAAGAGTTCTACAAAGTAACCCGTGTAGACAGTAAGGGACATCGTGTGATTGCTTGCTCAAGGAGTGCCTCTAGACGGGACTTGAACGGCTCGGCGACTGCAAGTTCCGCCCAATTGTACTTGCGGGGCGGGCAGCGATAAGTGTGCGGAATGATTGATACCATCTACTATCGACCACTTAATCTTTGACATCACCGGCCTTGAAAACCACAAGGTAACCCCCTGATAAGGGCAAATGATAGTGGAGCGGGCCTATCAAGTCTGAACAGAGGCCGATGGGGCTGGAATCTCCGGGTGTATCACGTGATGGGGCCGAACGGGATTGGCCGGAGTTAGGGCTAGGGCCCTCATTCGACCTTACCCAAGCCGCACATTAGCCTCGCTTAGCCAGCGTGCGAACTCATCCGACTTCGTTGTGTGCGTAGAACCTGCCCACAACGACAACAACCGCCGACAACATACATCCCAAGGGAGTATCCTAGAGCAGCGCTCTTCCTTTCGCTGGATATTTTCGTGACAGAAGAGCAGGATGTCCTCCACCGAGCCAGTCGTGCGTACACCCCCTTCACATGCAGTCGCTTCCCGGGTGGAAACCTTCGTGATATATCTTTTGAAGACATTGAATTGCCGTGGATGCGGAGAGGAAAAGAGAAGAGATATAGGAGAAGGGAAAGACACTCTGTTTGGGTTTACAGTGATCGCTGACTTGTGATGGATTTTGGCAGGTCGTCATTGACGGCAAGGGACACCTTCTTGGTCGTCTGGCCAGCACTGTCGCTAAGCAGCTGCTCAATGGCCAGAAGATCGTCGTCGTGAGGTGTGAAGCCCTCAACATCTCCGGCGAGTTCTTCCGCGCGAAGCGTATGTTATCCGACCCGATTCACTTTTCTACTAGTGTTTTCCTTGGAAGTTTGGCCGATTGGAAGAAAGCGTTGGCAAAGAGGAGGAAGTCTATGCAAGGATTACGCAAATGGCGGTGGAACAGCATATGATATTGTTACTGGTGCAGACGGACTGACATGGATATCGGGATATAGTCAAGTACCACGCCTACCTTCGCAAGATGACCCGTTTCAACCCTACCCGCGGTGGTGAGTGCAACCGACAGAAAATCGACGCAACTCCGTGGGCTTGTGCTGAATGATCACAGGTCCCTTCCACTTCCGTGCTCCCTCTCGCATCTTCTACAAGGCCGTCCGCGGAATGATTCCCCACAAGACCGCCCGTGGTGCTGCTGCCATGGAGCGCCTGAAGGTCTTCGAGGGTGTTCCTCCTCCCTATGACAAGAAGAAGCGTGTCGTTGTTCCCCAGGCTCTCCGTGTCCTCCGTCTCCGCCCCGGCCGCAAGTACTGCACCGTCGGCCGTCTCAGCCACGAGGTTGGCTGGAAGTACCAGGACGTTGTCGCCAGGTGCGTATTAGATATACCAGAATGGATAGCGGAGGAATTTTCGCTACAGGGGTGGCTGGATCATGGCTAACGGGATTTTTTTTTTTTCTACTATAGACTCGAGGAGCGCAGAAAGGTCAAGAGCAGTGCATACTACGAGCGCAAGAAGGCCGCTCGCCGCCAACTCGTCCAGGCCCAGAAGTCGGCGGGTGTCAGCGACCAGACCAAGAGCCAGCTTGCTCAGTACGGATATTAGATACCTCGTTGCGCGGCTGGTTGCTTGTGTCTTTGATGGGATGGGTTGGGATCGCGAACGGTTTTCTTTCAGCGAGATTGTTTGGACGGTGAACCGATCGACCTTGTTCTCACTGTCCCTACCTTATCATGAATATTCCACAATGATCATGTTGTGACGCACATGGAGGCTGGAAAGACCGATTTCTTATTATAAAAAATAACGGAGTCGCTTGGGATGAAAGGTTGTTCAAAATAGCCGACCTTTATTTCGCGCCGTGGCGGTTTAATCCAAAGAATTTTTCCTTCCGAGTTAAGAATGACTCTACGACCGGTTACTTATCAAAAATTTCCATTCAGTAAACTTCGATATCCATCTAATACATAGACCGAATAATCATCATTATCGTCCCTTCTCACTCTCCATGCCCATGCGATACTCGGCCCGTTGCACAATACTGCAGGTCATCCTCATCATCCCCAGGTGTGCATCCACTTGCCGCCCACGGGTGTGATAAGCGGGTGATACGTAGATCAAATGTGACGAGATACACCCTGCATTGGACCCCTTCGTGATCACACACCCATGCGCGTAATGTCCCTATACTATTGGTGTCTCTTAATCGTGTGGCAATGGTTTGGTCAACTGAGCCTATTATTTATAACGGATAGCATATACTGTGTAATGTATTGCACACTGATAAGCTTGAATATATTAACCCACTGCTAAAGCGCCGAACATGTGATATGTCGGCAGCGGATCTTATCTTTCAACTTACAGTCACAGATGATCACGGAAAGGTAGGTTTTACTTTCTATTTCATGGATACACATGGCTATAATAATAATCCAGTATATATATTATTGCAATCCACTACCCCAAGCATATATCAGACACTGTTAATAGCCTAGGTAAGAATAGGACCTAACCAATAACCGATCACCTTGGCGCGCCTTACTAATCGCTACTGAGTGGGCGTAAACAAATCAAGGGCGGAAAGAAAGGACTACGCAAGGAGCGAAATAGTACCCCAAAAAAAGAAGTAAAAAACATCTACTAAGCTACCATATCGAGACAATTGCAGCCCTTCCTAAATCCAAAAAAACGACAAGTAGTATCTCCGGATAGAAGGAAGGGGAACCTCAGCGGGAGTCGAATCGATCCTCCCGCCTTCCTCCGCGGTCCGACTCGGAGCTAGTCTCGATTTCCCCGCATTTCGCAGCCTTCTCCAACTTGGGGTCAGGACTCAACAGGGCGGTTGTGCCAACTTACTCTTGTTTCCTCGAGGGGTTATCTATAATTACTGGTTCTTGGTTGAATACTTCCTGCATATCTTGTGACCAACCAATCTAAATTAGCCCGTTTAGTTCATAGAAGAGTCGTCATACTTATTGCCGAGGTCAAATCATGTCAGGTGCCGTATCAAGGTTGTCAGGACTCTTGGGTCATTTTGTCCCTGGCGCAGAGCAACGGGTGAATTTCCATACGCTGTCGCCGACGTTCTTCTTGCCTAGGGCGGCGGCTATTGAGCCTGAGGTTTGTTTTGACTTTCTTTCTTTGCTTCTTTCTTTGCCTATTGGCTTTCAAGGGGGGTATGGTTGAGTGCTAATGTTAGGAGACAGGCCGAGGCGATTCATCACGTTACTGTGAATAACCAGGTTTTGAGACGGAGTTATGCCGAGACGGCGGATCGTGCAAGGGGTCTTGCTTATTATCTGAAGAAGCATGGGTTTAAGAGAGTCGGTGTTCTGTGCCCTAATACGCCTGCGTTTTTGGAGTCGATCTTTGGGATTGCGGCTGCTGGAGCGGTGAATGTTGGTGAGTTGTATATTTCTTTATATGCTTCAAGCTTGATCGGGTTTTGGCTAATGGATGGTTGGATAGCTGTAAATTATCGGTTGAAGGAGGACGATATCGCTTACATATTTACGCACTCTGATGTTGAGGCTGTCATTGTTGATCAGGAGTTCCTGTCGCTTCTGCAGAGTTATCGTGCTTCAAAGCCCAGTATCCCTATCATTGTCGATACGGACACGGATGCTACCGAGGGTCAATTATCCGGTCCCTTTGATGAGGCGGTTTTGGAAGGCCTGAGTTATGACTCGGATACCGGGGCCAAAGGTTGGCCTGGGCTCGAGGCCCAGGCTGCTTCCGAAGACGACGTTATCGCCCTTGCTTATACCAGCGGCACGACAGCTCGGCCGAAGGGTGTCGAGTATACCCATCGTAGCTGTTATCTTGCTGCGATAGGCAATGTGATTGAGTCTGGGCTCAATTCGCACCGTGGTCGGTGTCGGTATCTGTGGACTTTGCCTATGTTTCACGCTGTTGGTTGGTGTTCATTACTTGGATTAACTTTTCGAGGGTATGTGCAACTAACTTTGTTTAGGGTGGACGTTCCCATGGGCTGTCACCGCAGTGCGTGGTACCCATTACTGCTTGCGGAAGATCGACTACCCGCAGATCTGGAATTTACTGAAGCAGGAGCACATCACGCACTTTAATGCCGCTCCAACGGTGAATACCCTGCTCTGCAATTCTAAGGAGGCAGAGCGACTGCCTGAGCCTGTTCATGTGACAGTCGCAGCGAGTCCGCCTACGCCTCATCTCTTTGAGCAAATGACTAACTTGAACCTACACCCTGTGCATGTATATGGCATGACGGAGACATATGGGCCAATCACAAAAGGCTACTACCTGCCTGCATGGGACAACCTGCCGTCAAGTGAAAGGTACAAGAAGATGGCTAGGCAAGGACATGGCTTCGTGACCAGTCTACCCGTACGAGTAGTGAAGACGGATCTTCCCGAGGGAACTATCGTCGATGTTAGTCGGGATGGTAAGGAGATAGGCGAGATTGTTTTCGTCGGCAACATCTGTGCTCGGGGCTACTACAAAGACCCCGACGCTACGCGGAAACTCTTCGCGGGTGGCGTTCTCCACTCCGGAGACTTGGCTGTGTGGCATGCCGATGGCTCAATCCAGATCCAAGACCGGGCGAAAGACATCATTATCAGTGGTAAGTCTTGAATTGAATGATACTCTGTGATATTTTCTTGCTAATAAGCCAAATACAGGCGGAGAGAATATCTCATCAGTGGCGCTGGAGTCTATGTTGGTTACCCACCCAGACATTCTCGAGGCGGGAGTTGTAGCCGTTCCCGACAGCCACTGGGGAGAACGACCAAAGGCATATGTGACGGTTAAGTCAGGGAAATCATTGACTGGTTCAGAGGTGATCGATTGGGCCCGAAATGCCAGCGATATCAGCAAGTTCATGATTCCCCGGGAGGTTGAAGTCGTGGCGGAACTGCCCAAGACTAGTACCGGGAAAGTGAGAAAGAATATCCTCCGTGACTGGGCTAAAGGCGCCAACCGATCATGAATGCATTGTTTGAAATGGAAATAAATATGCATAGACAATCTAGACAATATACATCAAATTTTCTGAGATTGGGTTGCACCAGCATAGGCTGACATTATAATTTATCTCTGTTGGTTCCCAATCAACATACTTTAATGTCTTGCCGATAGTTTTACCGCCATGCCAATAGGTCCCATTTTCGGAAGGGGGGCACTAGACCCGACCTTGCCTGATCAGATCCTCATTTGGGTTGAAAAAGGGATGATATATATTCAATACTAGCAGTAGTTCAATACGATAGTATTCTATATTTGGTAGATAGTTGTTGAACAAGTGGACAGATCCGGGTGTCTGGTGACACGCTATAGAGGGGGTAGCAATGCGAGACAGGCGCTAAAGAGAGAAGTTAGTACTAGTAGTACTAAGATATGTATGTCTGCCTGGATTCAGGATCCTTAAATGTGGGCAGAGTCTAAGTATGGATGAACTACTCATCCTTCACTAAGGAAGGAGCCTGAGGTTAGTAAGATTTAAGTCCAGACGGCGTTAGCGGTAACCAATCGGGCCACGAGACGAACATTGCCCGACCGATTGGGAGTCTTCCAACTTTTGCCCTCAGTCAAGCGAAGATCCTCTTCCCCCCCATCACCCACTTGGTTATCCCTCTCATTGCTGACATCTGACTCGTCCGAATTTCATTCTCATTCTTCGTTTCCTTGTGTCTCCAAAAGACCTGGTATTCTGACGAATAACGGAACAATCCACACCCCACGGAACGCAAGCAGAAAACGGCTTTGCTGACTTCTCCCCCTCCCTTCCGCTGAATCGCAGTCGCCGCCTTCCCTTTCTTCACAGCCGCCCGATCGTCTAGCTATATAATCTCCGCCCCACGAGTCCCCTAGCCAAACCGCTTTCGATCATAGCTTGGAGTGCGTCTCCCAGCCGTGCTCACTTCACCCATCCGTCACCAGGAACATTTGCACCTCCCTCACATCCCTCCGCCGCCGCCTTTCCCTCTATTCCCCCCCTCCCTTGCCGTCCACAGGCACTTCCGACGCGCGTTGCCCCTTCTTAAGCACCTTCACCCCCTCCGTTCGACTGTACGGCCTTCAACACAGCTTTTAAAAGCTAGACCGAACTAAAAGAACGCCGTCTCACCTTCTGATCAATTTTCCGATCCAGCAGCCATAGAAGCGATCTTGAACAAGAGTTCCGCCGACTCTTACTAGGCCTTCTTCGCCTCGATGGTTTTATAGAGACGCAGTCCATGCCGTACGTTTCCATCCGTTTGTGAGATATCCCACAAACCGATCATTCCAACCGATCCGAAACACGCTGGATTCGCATCCGTCGGTGGTCCTCATGCCCCGCTCACGGCAACCCGCTCGGTTCTCGAGCGAAGCTCCTTCCGAGTCGTCATCCTCGTCATCCCCGGACCGGAACGCTGATGACGACACCGATTTCTTCACAGCCCAGGCAAATGATTCGCAATCGTCCGTTGGCGGCATCGCAACCTCCCGCGACGTACACGCACAAAATGAGCAGTACGTGCTCCCGCCGATCGGCCGTCTTCCCCCGGAAATCCTGATCGCCATATTTGCAAAGCTCAGCTCGCCAGCCGACATGTTGAGCTGCATGTTGGTATGTCGAGGATGGGCTGCTAATTGTGTTGGAATACTATGGCACCGACCGTCTTGCAGCAACTGGGTCAATATGAAGAGCATTACGACGACAGTTGGGAAAGAAGACAGCTTCTTCTCGTACTCCGATCTGATCAAGAGGTTGAATCTTTCTGCCCTGATGGCGGAAGTCAGCGACGGCACTCTTGTACCCTTCGCACAATGTAACCGGATCGAGCGGTTGACTTTGACCAACTGCTCGAAACTGACAGACAAGGGAGTGTCGGATCTAGTGGAAGGCAATCGGCATTTGCAAGCCCTAGATGTCTCGGATCTGCGTTCCCTTACGGATCACACTTTATACACTGTGGCCAGGAACAGTCCTCGGCTCCAGGGGCTCAACATCACCAACTGTATCAAAGTGACAGATGATTCGTTAATTGTCGTATCGGAGAACTGTCGACACATCAAAAGAGTGAGTACCGTCTTGAATCATTGTGTCACCGAGGCTAACATATGGATCAGTTGAAACTCAACGGTGTTATACAAGTTACGGACAGAGCGATTACATCGTTTGCTCGGAACTGTCCGGCTATCCTGGAGATCGACCTGCACGACTGCAAATCTGTCACCAATCGCTCTATAACTTCCCTCATGGCTACCCTTCCCAACCTCCGCGAACTACGGCTCGCGCATTGCACAGAGATAGACGATCTAGCCTTCCTAGAACTCCCAAAGCAACTCTCTATGGACAGCCTCCGTATACTTGATTTGACAGCGTGTGAGCACATCAGAGACGATGCTGTAGAGCGCATAGTTAGCTCGGCTCCTCGCCTACGAAATCTTGTGCTTGCCAAATGTAAATTTATCACCGACCGTGCAGTGGGGGCTATATGCAAGTTGGGAAAGAACCTGCATTACGTTCACCTGGGCCACTGCTCGAACATCACCGATGCGGCTGTGATCCAGCTTGTGAAGTCCTGCAACCGGATCAGATACATTGATTTGGCTTGTTGCGTTCGTCTGACGGACCGCAGTGTTCAGGAGTTAGCAACGTTGCCGAAACTGCGGCGGATCGGTCTGGTCAAGTGCACTTTGATCACCGATCACAGTATCTTGGCACTAGCGCGGCCAAAGGCCTCGCCCCATTCATCCATCAGTAGCCTGGAGAGAGTCCATTTAAGCTATTGTGTTAACTTGACCATGCCTGTAAGTCTTCCGATCGGTCAATGCTCCTTGCTAAGAATCAATTGTCTCACATGTGATACAGGGAATCCACGCTCTACTCAACAATTGTCCTCGACTCACTCACCTCAGTCTGACCGGGGTGCAGGAGTTCCTACGGGATGAGCTTACGAAGTTCTGTCGTGATGCACCTCCGGAATTCACGCATCAGCAGCGGCAAGTGTTCTGTGTATTCAGCGGTGACGGCGTCAAGCAACTCCGCGACCACCTGAACCGAACTGTCCCTCCGGCCCGGGAGATGAACGAGGCTACCATGTATGACGACGACGAAGAATTAGACGAGGACGAGGGTCAAGTGACTGGCCTGATGCATGCGACAGCAATTAACGACGACGATGACGACTATATTGACATTGGACATCCTCAAGGTTGATACCCCTGCCTTATACCTTTGAGCGTATCTCGTTCTTCTTTCTTTGATTTGGCCTCAGCGTTTTTATTCATTCCGCGTTGTTCTCTCAGACGAATCTGGTCACGGTGTGGGCGTTGCTTTTACGAAGTAGCTGTCGCAGTTGATCATATGGGACATGCATTGGTAGCGGTACAGGGGCTACCTTCTAGGTTGTTTTTTTTTTTTTTATCTGTCCGGGACTAGGCATATATGCGGTCGCATTGGAATGAAGCTGCCTCGTAGCTATGCTGCCATACTCGGCCTGGTGGAGGAAACGGAACACCGGCAACAGGGTATATACATCTTCCTACGGTTGCTGCTGGGGATGTATAGATTTTATCTAAGTACGGCGTATTGCATCCAGGACTCGGCACTATTTGTAGCTACATATTGCATCAATGGCGTTGGAGCATTCCAAAATAAGTTTGTATTTCTAGTTAGACATTAGAAGACTTAGTTTATGCTATGTATTTGATTCCTTTAAGGTTTGAATTTCAGTTGTTCCTCATCAAATCTTCTCCTGTCGCAAGAGATCCGGATTGATAGGAGGGTGCTCTGTACCGGTATGCGATCTATACTTAGGCATACCACGCTAACCCAATTTGGAATACTGCTCGAGTCGGCTGACATCATTGGAAGTGTTGGTGTCCGCGCATTAAATGTTCAGTTCCGTTTTAAGCTCCCCCCCACTTTCCCTTCCGCCTTGATGCGCGATCTCCAATTCTCTCTCTCCACATCGCCAGCGTCTGGAAGCTCGCGTCTTAGTCGTCACTCGCTCCTGGGCTGGACCCCTTGAAAAGAGGCCGACATCTGATGGCTTCTCTCCGATTGCCGCGGGCCAACCCACTGGCATTCACCCGCTGGCCTGTTACTATTATCACCGCGATCGTTTATCTGGCGTTGCTGATCCCGTTGCTGGTCGTGCACCATGTTGTACCTTCCGCTCCCAGCTCCCCGCCTAGCGGTCTGAACATTTCGGAAGCTTGGGCTGATCTTCAAGTCCTAACGAACGGCTTCCATCCATACAATTCGCGTCGAAATGATGCCATCCACTCTTGGTTACTGAGGCGGATTAACGAGATCCTGGACGCCACGCCTTCGGACCAGGAGTACCGAGCTTTGGACGAGGATAAGCCGGATGTCTTTGTCTTCGATGACGTGTACTCGAACCTGACCACTTATGGGGGTACCCTGAAGGATGCAGACCTCGGCGTCTATTTCGAAGGGACCAATATCATCGTTTATATCCGTGGGTGGGAAGACGAGACAGAACATTGGTGGGAAGCACCGAACGGGGTGCCGATGAGTAGGGGAGGCGTGCTTGTGAACTCGCACTACGATAGTGTCTCGACCGGTTTCGGGGCCACCGACGATGGCGTCGGCGTTGTCACTTGCCTTCAGCTCGTTAAGTATTTCACTACGCCGGGACATGCTCCGCGGCGAGGTCTTGTGGTGCTGTTCAACAATGGCGAAGAAGATTTCCTGAATGGTGCGCGCGTGTACAGTCAACACCCGATCTCGAAGTTACCTCATACTTTCCTTAACCTGGAGGGCGCGGGAGCTGGTGGACGGGCGACTCTGTTCCGGAGCTCCGATTTCGAGGTCACGGGCCCGTATATGCGGTCGCCGCATCCTTTCGGATCGGTGCTCAGTGCTAATGGATTTGATATCGGATTGATCGCTAGTCAGACGGACTATGTGGTTTTTCAAGGGAATATGGGCTTGCGTGGCCTAGATGTTGCCTTCATGGAGCCCAGAGCGAGGTATCATACGAATCAGGATGATACTCGACATACGAGCAAGGACTCGGTCTGGCATATGCTGTCGGCGGCTGTTGCTACGACTGAGGGACTTGTATCCGACTCGACCGATCGTTTCGACGGTTCGCCGAACACTGATGGGGGCGTTCCCAGTGGATCTGGCTCCAAGGCTGTCTGGTTTGACCTGTTCGGAAGCACTTTTGTGGTCTTCCAGCTTCACACGCTGTTTGCACTGCTGGTGACACTGCTTATCGTCGGCCCCCTTACTTTACTCTTTACGAGCATCGCCCTTACAAAAGCGGACAAGATGTATCTGTTCAGGTCATCGGCGAAGTCTGAAGACCATTTCGACGTGGTGCCCCTGCAGGGACTTCGAGGCTTCTTCCGCTTTCCGTTCCTCTTTGGAATCCCGACCGTCGTCGCGGTGGGCCTGGCGTATTTGGTTACCAAGGTCAATCCGTACATCATTCATAGTAGCGCTTATGCGGTCTGGAGCATGATGGCGGCTGCTTGGGTCTTTTTGGCCTGGTTCGTTTCCCGTGTGGCCGACTTTGCTCGCCCGTCGGCCTTCCATCGTATCTACACCCTCACCTGGATGTACATTCTCTCCTGGGTTTCTGCGGTGATTGCAACTGTGTATGCAAACCAAAGGGGTCTGGCTGGTGGGTATTTCGTCTTCTTTTTCCATGCTGGTATCTTCTTAGCCACGTGGATCTCCTACCTGGAGCTCTTTGCCCTGCCGTCCAAAACCGAGTATGCGAACCAGCTCAGGCCAGCTTCAGGACGGGTCAGTGGCCACGGGAGCCGCCGGGGTACGACTTCTGGCGAGGACGATGGAGAGGAGGCGGAAGAAGAGCCAACGGAGTCAACGTCCCTGCTGGGCAGTGGGCAGCGGACTACGTTTGCAAACTATGTGCGAGTTGGGGGAGATAATCATGCGTTGGCAGACGAGGAGGTGGTCGATCCCAACGTCTATGGCCGCGAACAAGCCTGGAGTTCTGCTTTGCCCAAGTGGACGTGGATCTTGCAGCTTCTTCTCACTGCTCCGATTACCCTTATCATGGTCGGGCCCCTTGCGCTCCTGACGATCAGTGCCATCAGCCAGACAGGACAGGACGGCGGTTATCCGCTTTTCGCCTACGTCGCCATCGCCATATTCACGACGATTCTGCTCACGCCGCTTCTACCCTTCATCCACCGGTATACCTACCACATCCCCTTGTTCCTATTGGCGGTCTTTCTGGGTACCCTGATCTACAACCTCGTGGCTTTTCCCTTCTCAGATTCCAGCCGGTTGAAACTTTACTTCGTACAGGAGGTCGACCTCGATACTGGCGTCAACCGCGCCACCTTTGCCGGGCTTTCTCCGTTCGTGAAAGATGTCACTCAGGACCTGCCCAGCGCCGCCGGCCAAGACATAGCCTGTGACTGGCACACTAAGAGGAGGAACCTGCTGTCCTGCTCCTGGGAAGGAATTGCTCCGCAGCCAGTGGAGGGCGACTACCCGATGAAAGACTGGGTGTCCTTCAATATCTCCAAGTCCACCGATAAGCCGCAAGCTCGGTTCGAGGTGTCTGGACTGAACACGCGGGCATGCAGGATCGTCTTCGACACGCCAGTGAAGAACTTCCACGTTGCCGGATCTGCATATGACCCGCGCTTCCCGTATGACGCGGCTGGCGTCAACGAGATCCGACTCTGGAGTCGCACCTGGGAGAACCAATGGACGGTGGATGTGGACTGGGACGAGGGTGCGCTGAAAGGCCATGTCGTCTGTCTGTGGAGCGATCATAACCAGCCGGGGGTCATTCCAGCGTTGGACGAGGCTATCCAGTTTGCGCCGGTGTGGGCGGCCGTGACTAAAGTGAGCGATGGGCTTGTGGAGGGCCGTCGTGCATTTGAGATCGGCAATAATGATTGATTGGCGTTCTGAGGCATGTCTGGCATACTGTTGTATGTCGCTTAGTGTTACTTTGATATTGTTACCATATAGGTAGTATAGTATAAGCATATGCGGGGGGTCATTATTTCTAGATAGTAACAACAATCGATAAATCCGTGCAAGATTCAACACCGTATAAGGAAAGGAGTACGAAAGAAATCATAATAAAATCATAACCACTACCAATCACTCAATCCGACTATCCGAGCAACTCCAGATCCAACTATACCCAAAAGCCCATATAATCCACATCGAAAACCAAAACCCGCACCAAAGAAAGCCCAACCCAAATAGAAAGATAGCAAAAAAGATCAAAGTTGGTCAACCCCTTACAGCAACCCACCACGTGCTCCCTTCCTAAAGCTCTGGCCAGTTCCAGAGATAACCAAGGCGTGATCCGACCTCGCCGAGTAAGATCTATTTATATATTTTGGCTCCATTGTTGGTGATCAGGGGTATGTACCATATTACTCACCTATAATAAATAACTAGTTAGACCATCGCATTACGGTGGCTTTACGAGCTGAGCTGAGCTAAGCTGAGCCAAGGTGTTTTGTTTGCGTACGTTGGATCCATGGGCTTTATTTATTACTAGATGGCCTGGATCTATCGTACCATTTCAGGGGGCGGGGATGATGGTCTTATTGGGTGTATAGGTAAGTAAGTAAGTGATCTAAATCCTTTCTATTCCGTAGGGGTGTGTATGGTTATACGTACATACATACATACGTAGGACTTTTGTTTTATCTCGAGCGAAATATGATAGATCTTCCTACGGAGCAGTATCAGATAAGACAGGTAGGCTTTGTAGATACATAGATATAGACGGGGAGAGATTAAGGTGTAGGCTAGGGCGATGTTTCAACTTCTTACATAGTTTCTTTTCTAAGATTGGGTCTGTCTTTTGGTTGTAGGGATCCATCTCCAACGTAATGTTGTTTGTGGGTGTTGGGTTAGTATTCTAAATACTAACGGCTAAATGTTGGCGTTAGGAACTTATACTATGGGTAATGCATGCGCTGTATGCATGTTGTATGTCTGTAGACAGGAATGTAGGGGTGCTGCTTATGTGCAGGTCTCCTGTTTCTTATTTATTGGGGTGTGGGCTTGTGGTTGGCATGGATGGATCTATTCTATTGTATGTATATTGTAGGTAGGTTGTATGGTTTAGGGTTCACCTGGTGGAGTCGGAATGTTCAGGGTTTCAATGGTTTCTTGCGAGCGGAGTACGGAGTACTCCGGGTAGGTTACGCGATTGGGTTAGTCTGGATATTCCATCATTGAAGTTGGGATCGCGAATTAATATCGATTCGGTCAACGAACAAAAGGAGAAGTACCGTGGGACGACCACTGAGCACCGAGAACTAAGCAAGATGATATAAAAAAAAAAAAAAAAAAAGCAAAGAAACACCTTGCGAGACAACGCCCAGAGAAAACCTCTGCGACAACATTCCAAGACATCTCCAACGGGTGGCTGAGTGGTTAAGGGAAGCCTTACCCATTCAATTCCATGGCGCCGCGTTGGCAACGCAACGATTTAACGCGTTCAACGATCCTGGGAGAGGTCCAAATCCGGTAACCGGTCAATTTTAATCTCCAGGGACGAAAATAGCCGCACACAAAAGTTACTTTAAGGCCCCGGTTGATGAATTGTCCACCGTGGATGACCCTGTCAAGTGCCAATGGGGGTCGAGACTACGATTGGATCCCGGTTGACAGAATACGAGGTCAAAAGAAAAGCCCTGGGGAAAAGTCCCCGGATCAGACCAACCTAACGATCAACTACAACCCCCCATTCTTTTCACAACCGCGGCCGCCCGCCCCTTAACCGCGGACCGCGCTGAGTTTAGTGAGCGTAACGGCGGGAGGACAAAGGGAAGCGGTGTTCAATAGTTTGGCACTCCGGGTCGACCCAAGTTTATAGTTGGTCTTAGTGAGCGAGTCTTAAGTTAAGGCGAACAATGAGCAAAACGGTTAATTGGAGTGTGCGTCTCCGTCGGAGCCGTTTTAGCCGTCTTGGTCGCAGAGCTGGTACCTAAGTGGAGTTCCACGGGTCAGATGAAGTCATTGCTTTTTGGTTCGCACGGGGATTTTCGTGCGTGTGGAATGGGTTTGTGCTCAGCTTCCAGTGAGATCAGAGAGAATATCCGGAGTACTTCAGTACATTGCTGGACTTACCTCAGTTCTGGCCCCACGATGGGTCGAGCTGTGTGTAATAGGTTGCCTTGTTGGAGGGGAGAACCGGTCTGTTGGGTGTTGCGATGCGGGATTAAGGGAGAAACCGATCCTGCTAACCAAGTAAACTAATTAAAATTATGAGAGAATAAACCGGGATTGAATGGCGGTAGCGATGCTTTTGGTCGTGTTCTTGTTCTCGTTCTCGTGGAGAGATCCCCGTCCAGCTTAGGGTTCAAGGCCAAATTGACTCATTTGGGAAAGATCCCGTGATTCGCGAGGCCAAAGAGAGAAAAATGCAGTCGACGCCGGACGGGAACCAAAGTACGTACCTAAACGAACGATGCTTTTTTTTTTATTTTTTATTTGTTTTTTGTTTTTTGATTGCCCGTGCAGGTGGAGCCACTGACACTTGACAGGCAGGAGGGAAGCTCTGGCTCTGTACCTCTCTCGGTCGACATGCAAATTTTAAATTGATTGGGTTAACGGAAGCTGTCCGATCCCACCGCTACTACGAACGACACTCATTGGCAAACAAATCACAGAAGGACACGGGCTGGATCTGATATGCGACGACCTAGGAGACCTCGCTTCAGCAGTCGATGCCTCGTTGTCATCATGAGGAGATAGCCAAAATGCGATCCATTCGTTTGTGATATCATTGGAGCTTCAGCTCTTCAGTGGAGGAATCTAGTAGGATCAGTGGATGATCCCAACCTGTCTCTTTCGGTGCTTTTCTTTTTCCATCGATCGGACAATTAATTTCTCTGTCAATTTGGATCAGTCACCGGGTAACAAAGCACCACACATCCTTTTTTCTTGGGACCCATTTCCAGTGCTTTACTGATCCAGATGGAGTCCTTCTGATTGCTCACTCCTGCGTGGATCTTGAATTTGAGTAGGGCCTGTGCATTGATCCATCATCATCCGCGGAGAATCGATCTGAGGCTTAGAAATCGTTTTTGATTTTTATTTTATTATTTTTCTTATAGTCCTTTTTTTTTTTTTTTTTTTTTTTTTTTTTTTTTTTTTTTTTTTTTTTTTTTTTTTTTTTTTTTGCTGCGACGTTCCGAACGATTATTATAGTAACTTATATCTTCTTCCCAGAAAATCGGCCCCAGAAAATAGGTCACAGCCTCTC